CCTAAAATCCAAAAAAATAAAATGTAGTGTGTTTTTGTTAATAATAAATAAACACAAAAAAAACTTTAAATAAAAAAATTATTCCCTCGTAAATAGATGATAAATTCTTTTTGTAATATTCGAACCAGTGTATTTTTACTTGAGAAGGTATTACTGGAAAATTACTGTAGATAATTTTATTACTACATAGTGAATTTTATTTCGGTTTGTATTATAACAAAAATATTTGTCTAGATCTTATGTAATCTTCATAAACTAACAACTTAACTAAAATATGAAAGATATCACATAGGAGAGATTTCCATTATCTATTAATAATAATTTTATATCATTTAATGCTGACAACAACTTTACAGTTTTTTATGTTTTGTTACATATTAGTATCTATCATTATTTATGGTTATGGCCGACACCAACACATTTTAAATACAACATTCGTTATAATATCCATTCTTGGATTTTTCAGAACATTCTAAACCTATTTCATGAACTATTTCTAAAATACCATGTGTTTTTAGATTAATTAATTAATAAAAATTAACATTAAATAAAAAAATTATGTGATTACAGAAATTTGCTACGTTTTTTTATGGAAGTTTATTTCTTTATTGTATGGTTATGTACATAAAAAGTAAAAGGTCATCAGCAAGCATCACAACAGAAGGGTAAAGGTCAATGTCGACGGAACAGATCTGGAAAGAGTAACAAGAACAACGTACCTTGGAAGTAATGTTCAATGTTTTACAAAATGCAAAAAGTTCTATGCAACCGCCAGCTGGGCATCTTATTGAGAACTAGAATACTTAAGTGCTATGTTTTCTCCACCTTGCTCTATGGTTTTGAAGCCTGGACAATGACAGAAGCAATACAAAAAAGAATCCAAGCATTCAAACTCTGGTGTTACCGTAAAATGCTCAGAATATCCTACATGAGCCATACGACAAATACGGAAGTCTTGCGGAGGATGAATAAGGAAAGAGAGCTTATGTATTAAATGGGCCAAATATATGGCCTAGGAGGACAAATTCGTTAAACTTTCGTGCTCGAATCGGTATCACTAAAGTGTTATGATCATTTCGGCCTATCCTAGCCATCGTCAGACACTTGGGCTGATACAAATTCAAACACGGAAAGTAGAACGAATGTCTCCTAAAGCTTCACCACTGCAGTGGTTTGCGGACAGAGGCGCTACCTGCTTTGGCGGCCGTGAACGAAAACGATATAATCACATCGTTTTCTACCTCTGGGCTATGCGAAATGTGTAAAGAATAAATCTTTTAGCAAAAAGCTGCTATCGCTTTGTTGTATCAGCCCAAGTGTCTGACGATGGCTGGGATAGGCCCAAATGATCATAACACTTTAGTGATACCGATTCGAGCACGGAAAGTTTAACGAATTTGTCCTCCTAGGCCATATATTTGGCCAATTTAATACAACAAAGCGATAGCAGCTTTTTGCTAAAAGATTTATTCTTTACAAAGAGAGCTTATGCTTATAATAAAAGAACGGAAAACACAATATTTTGGTCACATCATAAGAATTCAAAAGTATGAAAATATGAATGGACGAACATGACCTCCATAGAACTATTCAGGGCTGCTACAAATAAGATTAAATGGGCAAATGTAATGGCCAACGTCTGTAAGAATAAGGCACCGTAAGAAGGGAGAATATTAGGTTTATACTTAGAAAAAAGTAGACAGAACGATTCTGTTGCGAGTAGCATGCTCCTACAGGACTGTATCTGCCTTGTGGACTATCACGGGTTGTGTTCGTCTGCATGTGTTAGCAGTAAAAAAGAGACATCTCTATGAGAGAATAGAGCATTTGACAACAGCTATAAAAAAACGTAAACAAAGGGAAAGACCAATGGAAAGATGGCAAGAAGAGTGGAACAACAAGGAAGATGTTGCCCAGTGGACCAAGATGCTAATCCCGAGCCTAAGGGACTGGGTAGATTGTCTGTTTTATGGCGTATATTCCGACATTGTTACTCACACAATGCTGGAGTGTAATATATGTACAGTAGAGAGACAGAATGTATAACAAAATAGGTATGAACCCTGTGACTGTAAGAGAGATGATCGTGAAGATGATGGGAAATACGGAAGGATGAAATCATGTTTACAATTACAACCGAGCAACAGTAAAAAAACGAAGAAGAAGATAAACACCAACCGGGCCAATGACAGAGATAAGATCTAATTACTATTTTAATGAGAATAAGCTGCAATTGAAGGTTAAAATAACTTTATTGACGTTTGAATCTTTGATCTTGCACTGATAACTTGTTCATACTCCAACAATTAATAGAAAAAAGAATAGCGGTTGGTAACGAAGTATATCTGTCATTCATCAAACTAGAAAAGGCCTATCATACAGTTTCAAGACTTAAATTGTGGCAAGCTTTACAACTCGACATTAGTCCATACCTTTCAGGAATAATCACAGAAGTATACAGGGATAACACTACTTACCTAAAAATCGGAAATAGACTATCAGAGCCAATAAAAGTAACTAAAGGACTAAGAACAAGGATGCAGTATGTCACCCTTAGGGAGAGCGCCCACCAAAGTGGCCTGGCAGTGGCAAGTAGCAAGTAGCACGCGTCTAGCATAATGTAACCAATCCTAACGAATGATTAGAATGAATGACGTTACTGTCATTTTGGTGTAAACTGAATCATTCGTTTTCATTGGTTACATTATGCTAGACGCGTGCTACTTGCTACTTGCCACTGCCACGCCACTTTGGTGGGCGCTCGCCCTTACTGTTTAATTTATATATTGAGGCAGCCCTCCATAATTGGAAAAACCACTGCCAGGGAATGGGAATCCCCATAGGAAATGACGTGATGTTCTCCTTGAACTTTGCGGATGACCAAGTCATCCTAGCTCAAGATTCTTATGATCTAGAATTTATGATAAAGCGTCTATACAGAGAATATGTAACATGGGGGTTACAAGTAAGCATGAAGAAAACAGAATATTTAGTTATCAATTCAGATGCAAGGTTTGAAGTGTTGATAGACGAGGACGTGTAAATCAAACAAGTGGAAAAATTTAAATCTTTAGGTGCACTCATTGCTAAGAACGGCTTGGGAGAAACCGAAATTAAACACCGAATTAATCAGGGACGTACAATTGTAGGATGAACAAAAACAAAAAAAGAATAGGGCAAACCATGGTTGAATCAGTTCTTTGTTATAGCTCTGAAGTATGAACAATTATGCAGACCTGAAGAGAAGATTGTTGGCAGTTGAAATGGATTATTTGAGAAGAAATGCTAGAACATCAAGGCAGAAAAGGAAGATTAACGAATCTATAAGAAATAACATGAATGCTACAGCAACGGTCATTGACAGAATAGAAAGAAGAGGTTCAAAATTGTTGTTGATTGAGAATTGTACACCTATTGAGAATGTCTGACGAACGTTGGCCCCAAAAACTTCCCAAATGGAAGCCCCCTGGTAGAAAAAAAGAAGGTACACCTCGACGCTCATGGAATGAAGGAATTAGAAGAGCGATGGAATCGAGAGGTTTGGAGGAGGAGCATGTCTTGGACTTGGAGGATTGGCGGAGAAGAACGGGAATACAGCGATAGCCGTCTCCAAAATGTATTGTATTTACAAGTTGGATTAATGTCATACGTCAATAAACTTATTTTAACCTTCAATTGTGGTTTATTCCCATTAAAATAGTAATTACTTTAAACTGCCACAAGAAAATAGCTTCAGAACAATAGATAAGATCTAGATAAGAGAAGGGAGTGTTTAAAAAATGTCGTCATCCTTACAGCGGCCACCCCACTTTCGGACTACGGTACCTGCGACAGTCAACTGCACAGAAGTAAGAGAGGGTGGTTTTAGTTGGTAGGCAGGATAATAGATGCCTAAATCTTTGGCATTGGTATCTATAGTACTTTAAATTAAACTAATATCCAAATTTCAGGGACTCATAATGGAGGTACATAAAAAAAATTTCAAACCCCCCCCCCCTCAGACAAATTCTGAGTGAGCCACTGGAAGAACGCTGGAAAATTAAGGAAATTTACAATCTCAAAAAAATCTCAAAAAAATTATTTGTAATAAAATATATCAATTAAATCATAAAAATATAATAGCTCCTATTATCTTATTGCAATAAATCCTTTGTCATTATAAATATTCTGATTTATTGATTTGTTCCAGTTATTTTCTACTAAAAGCCAGAGTAGCGAGCGAGATGAGAAGTCTTTATGTTGTAGTAGTAGCTATACTACGTTCCACGTTTAGAAAATAACATTGCGGAGATAGGACCATGTATTTCTTATGGACGATAGCAACGCGGCGTTGCCACGACACTCACAAGCACAATTTAGGGTTGTATAATTTGTATTTTTGTTTCCACAAACATGAATTAAATTAATGTTTTTTAACGTAATTGACCAAAAGTGCCCATTCGAAACAAGAGATGAAAAGTAGGGAAAATGATTTTAATTAGATAAATAGTATTTACAAAAGATAATTTTATTTTATCTTATTTTAATTATAGTAACGACAGTTTATTTGTTTTTCGGTGAGAATACGATATGCCATGAATCATAGAAATCAGTAGAAAATATTGACCGCTTGGAATGCGTATATCTAATTACTAATTGCAACTTAAAATAATACGATGTGCGTATGTCAGCTATTTTATGTCGTTCTCTGATTACATAATGATAATAAGGCTTTTATTTAGTAGTTATTCTGACTTTACAGTTAAATGTTAATTGAAAATAAAAATTCAAAAATTAAGCAAAGAGAATATCTTGGACATCCGTGCAAAAGAGAGTGTCTGAGAGTTTTGGCAACACTGATCTCCATAAGCGTAATGTTATTTTCTTAACTTGAAACAAAGAATAGTAGCTCTACAAGTTTTGCCTACCACCTTTAATCAAATTCTTATCGAAAATGAACAAACAATACTACGTCGTCGTATTTCATTCTATATAAGCTGAAACGAGAGTCAAGACCAAACATATTGTCGTGGATTTGCTGTTGGGTACGGTCAGAAACGCAAAACGAAAAATGGCGCCAGCTAAGGACAACTTGAGTGCTGTTCTCTACGGGATCAACGACCTACGATTGGTGAGTTTTACGAAAATTTTAAAAACTGTTTTTTGAATTTATGTTTGCAAATTTACTTTATAGAAATTACACTTTCATTTTCAATTTTAAAAACAAGTTTTTTAATTTAATTTATGGTCCAGCTGCATTACGAGGGGAATCTCAAAAGTTTTAATGATTTAATTCATTTTGTCAGTTATTTCTCCTTTTAATACGGAAGGAAATGTTAGATGTAAAAAATATATTTTTTTCAATATAATTTAAGCACAATTCTACTTTACTCATTTTTACTTTTACTTTCGCTCTGTTTTTATAAAGCACTATTGTGAAATAGTTATTATTTTATGCTTAACACAACAACAGGCTAAACTATTTGATACCTTCCAAATTTATGCTTCGTCTGTCCTTATCCAAAATACTATATTTGAAACACCTTTAACTGATCTACCTACTATATCTAGTTCATTCCCGAATTTTATTCCATCATATTAAGATCCGACAAATACATAAGTGCTTAAGTTTTGTAACTTGTATAATGTTATACCTACCATCTTATTGCTGTTTGCAATAAGATGGTAGGTATCTTATTGCATCTAAGCTGCCTGTTGTAGGTATCCTTTACAATTAAATATTAGTTTTTCTCTTCCTATAGCGAGTCTCATCTTTCACAGCGTACTGTTCGCATTTATAAATAAACTTAAAACTCGATTCCCTTCCCTCAGTCAATTGTGAAATTTCTGGAAAATATATATCTAAAATTATAATAATTTTATTGCTCCAGTATAATATACTCCACCAAAAAAGTATCGCATCACTTGTAAAATTACAAATATTTCTGACAGCAGTTCTTTCTGGCTCTTAAGAGTATTAAGACTAGAATAAATATTAAAAAGAAATTTATAAATACAGCTTTCTATTTAAGAAAAAAAAAGGTAATTTCTTTGTTGTCTGGGTTTTATATTAATTTTTCATGTCTTTATTTTAATTTTTTTAAAAGTATACAGTTTGCGTTTAATTTAAAATTTCATATTAAATATTGAGTGTGGAAGGTCGTGACAATGTAAATTTAAATTTAACGAGAAATCAAGTGGTTAGAATAATTTCCCTCATTGGAGACGGAAGGAGTCAGAGATATGTGGCAAATTTAGTGGGTGTAAATCAGTCGACAGTATCACGAGTGGTAGTTAGATACCAAGAGACTGGTCTTTATGAAAAACGAGCTGTAACAGGTCAGCCAAGACCAACTACATACGTGGAGAATAGATTCTTAGACCTTCAGGTTTTTGCGTCGAAGACATGTGACTGCAAGTCAACTTCAACATGACAGCCGAGACTCAAAATGTACGTGTGTCTTCAGAACCTTTTAGGCACATCTTAAGACAGTTTGGAATTAGGGCCAGAGTCGCTGCCACTGCCCCGAGACTTCTCCTTCCGGCTCGAGGAGATAAGAATACGGCCGGGGCCAGCCAATACCCTGCCTGTCGTAAGAGGCGACTAATGGGCGGATATGAGAGGTGGGGGGCCGTCGTTTGAGGTGTCGGGTTGGTAGAAACGCACAGAGATGCTTAGTCATCTCAGTCACCGGTCAACATTCCTAGTATCCGAGACGAGCGCCTCGTGGGACCACTCTACTCTCATTTTCCACAAGAGCCGGGTGTGGTTGAACGAGCCAGGTACGGAGGTTTCCCGGAAGCTGACACCGCGAAAGGGGAACGGGTGACCCAGCGCGTAACCACACCTCGGAATGATTTAACGAGTGGTAGAGGAGTGACTCCTCGGCGGCGACCTGTCTACGTGCGAGGTGGTATTCCACCACCTACGTGCCTTTCCGCCTCCGGGGGAGGACTCACGGAAGGGTGGCGTGACCCGCAACACAGGTACTACGGGGGAGGTGGAGCCCCACGATGTGCTGGCATCGTGCCACCTCCACTTGGTGTCGGACTCGTAGGGGCAGTGGCGTGCGCTAACGGTCGTATGCCGAAAGGCCAGGTAGACCAGGGTCCTGCCAATTCATTTTGGAGGACACAAAGCTAAGCAATGCCACGAGACTTACAAGGGAACACCGTATAGCACGTCTAACATTTGCAAGACAGCACGTAAACTGGAATATCGAGGACTGGAGTAACATACTCTTTACGGATGAGTCAAGATTTTGTTTACACACTTCGGATCGAAGAATACCAGTATATAGATGAGATAGCGAGCGGTATTTTCAATGCAACCTAAGACTGGCGACAAACTTTGAAGGAGGATCTATTATGCTCTGGGGTGGAATATCTCTTAGGGGTCAAACCGAATTGGTACAGCAAGATGGAGGATCCTTAACTGCTGATAGGTACATTAGAGAAATTTTAGAGATGCATTCTGTTCTTTACGCCCCATTTATTGGTAATGATTTTGTTTTAATGTACCGAGTACCTCTTAAAGGTACCGAGTATTAAATTTACCTCTTGAAGGTACCGAGTATCTTCATGAGGTAAATTTACAAGTTTTGAATTGGCCAGCGGACAGCCCTGACTTAAATGCAGTGGAATATGTTTACAGAAGGGTGAGATCTGGAGATAAACTATATAAAGTAGATCTGGGATAAACTAGAGTATGTACTTCGAAATGTGGATATATAGAAGAATTTTGAAAATACCTTGGACAGACAAAATAACAAATAGTGTAGTTAGTCGAAGAACGAATAAAGAACGGGAGTTGTTGATCACCATCAAGAGAAAAAAGCTGGAATATCTTGGTCATGTGATGAGAGGAAAAAAATACCGATTGCTCCAGTTAATTATCCGAGGAAAGATTCAGGGCAAACGAAGCGTGGGGAGACGACGTATATCTTGGCTGCGCAATTTAAGAGACTGGTTCCAGTGCATATCTACCCAATTATTTAAAGCAACAGCTTCAAAGATACGAATAACAATGATGATTGACAAACTCCTTAGCGGAGAGGGCACTTGAAGAAGAAGAAGAGATCTGTTAATGTGACGCCAGCTAATCTTCAGGACCTGCAACGGTTATCAACCGTAGAATGGGATAAAATCGATTAAGATTATCCTAGAAAATTAATTGTAATTATGCCACATACTTCCATAGTATAAAACCTTAGCACCTTAGCAAACTAGTTCAAAAGGCTTTGTCCTCTTCAATCTTCTAGTTTGCCCAGTAGTATCGACGAGCTGGATTGCCTCAATATTCTATGAAGTCGTTGCTCGTGACTTCCTGCCATCTTCTTGATGATTATGTCCACAGTTTCCATTCCTAGATCCTTATAGAGGTCACTGTTTGTCATATACCAAGGAGCATCTACAATATTTCTCAGTATTTTATTCTGGAATCTTTGTATTATTGTTATATTACTTGGTCTAGTACACCCCTATAGTGGCCATCCATATGTCCATACAAGTCTCAATATTTGTTTGTAAAGTAATAACTTAATGTTATGCATCGACAATGTGGAGTTTTTTCTAACTAGCCAATACATTTTTTTGCACCTTATATTTAGTTCTTCCCTTTTTTTCTTTACGTGAGCCTTCCAGCGTAGCTTTGCATCTAATGTTATACCCTAATACTTAGCAGTATCTGCATATGGTAATTGGATATTATTGATTATAACTGGTATATATTGTATTTTTTTGTCCGTGAAATTAACATGGACAGATTCAGCTTCATTCATTCTGATTATCCACTTTTGTGTCCATTTATGGATTTGGTTAACTGCTATTTGGACCTTATTAGTCACTTCTTTACTAGTCGTTCCTACTGCTTGGATAGCTGTATCATCAACAAAGGTGGCAACTGTATTGTCTTCCAGTACAGGTATATTACACGTGTATAGTAGGTATAGAACCGGACCTAACAAACTGCCTTGTGGAACACCTGCTCTAATTTCTTTTTATTTTGAAAAACAGTATTCTTGCTTAATTGTAAAATGTCGTTCTTTTGAGTACTGTACTAAAGTTTTGAGTACTGTTTAGGTAACAAACATTTTAGTTTTTGTATTAAACCTTCATGCCAGACTTTATCAAAAGCCTGTGCAGCGTCAAAGAAGACAGTTAAACATACTTTTTTTTCTTCTAAAGATCTTTCGATAATATTCGTGATTCTGTGCACCTGGTCGATTGTTGAGTGCTTCTCTAAATCCGAATTGATGTGACGGAATCAAATTTTTTGCTTCAATAATTGATTTTATTCTCTTCAGGGGCAGTTTCTCAAACAGCTTCGATATTACAGGGAGCAGAGATATCGGTCTTTATGACGAAACCTCATAGTCTCGTCTTCCTGGTTTAGGAATCATACAGACTTCCGCCATCTTCCATATCATTGGTACATATTGTAATCTGAATGTAGCATTAATAAGGTTAGTTAATTTTCGTCTTCGGGGAAGATTTTTCAACAGCTCCATTGGCGTTGCATGCGACAATTCTAAGGTCATTAGCCATTTCTTCCTCCGGAATAGCACCTTGAGCTCTATATTCCAGGGAAGTGACCCTTTAATTTAATTTTTGTAATTCCTGTAATATCATTTGTAGAGTCTTTTTTGTTTCTTTTTCAATCTCTGTTGTTTTTTGTTATTTATCATTATAATTTTCATTTCGACCTTTTGTTACCGCACTGTATGGGCTGAACATATAACGCCGCAGAAAGAAATTCTAAATATTGTATAGAATTTACTATTTTTACTGGAATTAAGCCATAATTTTACCTTTAAAATTGGTTTATTTTGAGTCGATTTTCACTACTATGTTTTAGTCAACCTTGAACTTATAACACGACATACCATATATTATAAATTAGGACAAAATTGAAGGTATGAATTGTAAATACCGTTTTGCCATCTCATCGTGTTTACTATTGAATTTGCCATTCATGTCTAATTATAAATCCTGCATTTTAAGTAAAATTTTTATTTTTAAACTTGGTGTTTTATTTTTATATTCGGCTAAATTTTAAGTTTACAAATATTTTCTTGACGTTGAACCGTTGGCACATAAAAAAATTGCAGACGGATTTAACTTGAAATGCGA